GAAACGTCTTCAAACTTGGAAACAAAGTCCAGTGGATTGATTTTTGCAATATTGTTGAAATTAAACATAAAAAAAAACAATGAACTCTTGAATCAAAAGCCACTAAAGCTACTATGGTTTTCTGAACTGACTTCCATTGTTGTTCTTTTATTTACTGTTAGTTTTTTTTTAGGTTTTCACAATTAAAAATTGTTTTTCAGACCAAAAATATAAAGTTTTTTTGGGGTTGCCACAGTTGCTTCTTTAAGGTCCTACAGTCCTGATAAAGCAGAATGAAATGTACTTCCTGCTGAGGATCGTCTCCTGTGTCGATAAATTTGATCAGCGGAGCAGAAGAATCATTTACTGCTGCTTTTTTTGCTCCGTTTGTTCTCAGAAAATGATGTCATGGTGGCCTAACCTCTCACCTGTTGTTCGTCTGAGGTTTTATTCATTGAGGTGACCTTACTTCCTAAATTCCTGTTACATCATGACAAATGATGTGGATTTTATTTTCTGAAGGTTGAAGTTTCAGTTTTAGCTCCTGGATCAGAGCTGCAGTGACATCCACTGTCCAGAGGGGTCGCCAAATCCAACATACTGTGAGAAAACCAGCTGCTGAAGTTCTGATGTCACTAATCTGTCAACCAATCACAGCTCAAATTGATCGTTATTTAAAAGTAATCTGTAACCGTGTTCCTCCTGTACTAAACAGCATTGTGTAACGACTGATGGATGAAATTTACCAGGATAAAATGTCTTTTGTAGAATTTTTAAAACATATTTTCTGCAGTTTGGACTCAGGAGAAGGTTTTTGTTTGAGCAAATACTGATCTGTAAGCGGGATATTAAAGTCTGGGTGGAAAATGTTCATCTGTGAGGATTTTATTCAGTTTGACTGTGGTTGGGTCTGTGGAGTTTGGTTTCCCAAGCAGGGAGAAGATATGGTGCTGAGGGAGGTAGATGCTGCTCTAAAATCCCTGCTGGACCTTTATGCTTCAATGCTGAGATGATCAGAGCCCAAACCATGATACCACCTCCTGCCTGTCACAGAGCCTGGCTGCGAGAACTGATCCATCAGATCCACGATGGTCCAACCATGAAGCTGAGCCCAGAGAAGCTGCCTCCTCCCCTGAGGAGAACATCAGGTGCCTTCTCTGCTCAGTTGAGGCTGGATGTCGATCTGGTTCTCCAGAGTGATCCCAGGTTCTGGATGAATACCGTCAGAGGGACGTGAAACCATGGCAGCTTTAATGAAGATATGGAGTCACAGAAACATGGAGACGCTGTCCTGAAAGCTGCTAAAAATGCTCTTTATTGTAACTTCTCCATTCCTCTGTTACAGCAGCTGCATCCAGATATGAAACATCAACAGCAAACATCAGAACATCATCCAGGGTTCAGTATGTACAGCAGCAGGACGACGTCGGACGTCGGACGGTCAGAGAACCTCCACCTGAAACCATGAGTGGTGCAGGAACGCAGAGCAGACTGAGCTGATGGGAACCAAACGAGTAAAGGAGGAGATGTTTGACCAGATGTGTCTGCAGCTCCGTGCCTTCAGCTTCCTTTACACAAACCAGCTTCTGAGGCTTTTACAGCCACTTTCCAGGAATTCAAATAATTTCATTAATGAATTCCAGCATGCAAAATGTATGAAACACAAACGGTAGATTTATAGTTTACAATATTCTGACCTATTTAATATTGTCCCTTTTGGGTCTCCATACACATCAGGAGGTTACAAACATGTCTCGTCCCTCTGCTTGGTCCCTGCGTACTACCCCGGGTCCCTAACCCACCCTCTGAGAACCCTTTCCATGGACCCTCTGAACTGACTGCTCCATCCTAACATGTCAGGAGACCAGGATGGTTCATTTCACCTGGTTCTCCTGCAGCATGAATGGATCTGAAAGCTGCAGAAACATCTGGAAGCTGTGAGCTCTGAAATGTTAACGAGCATCTGAGTCGTCCTGCAGGCTTAAAGAATAAAAAAAACAACAGATTCAAACTGCTCAAAATGTACAAAAAGAGAAACGTGGAACAATCTTTGTGTCATGGGTCACAGCAAGCAGCCAATCAGAACACAGCACCGACCTGTTCAGAAAGAAACCACATGAAGAAATAAACTCAAAGTGATGGATGCTTCTCCGCTCTGCCTCGTCTCACAGCTTCCATCTTTTTTTAGAGTTTTCAGGGTTTTTTCTTTGTTTTTGTTCCACAGATACAGGAAGCAGCGGCGGCATAACGTGTCGGCGTGATTAAAGGTTTTCATTTTGATTCAATGCAGTGAGAGGGAGGGGTCTGAGTCCCTGAGCTCGGACTTAAAGGCGCTGAGAGGAAATCACAGGAGTCATTCAGAGTGATGGGGAATCATCAGGCGTCTGTGATAAAACCTAAACATGCAGTAAAATAGCAGCAGAATATGGTTCAAATTTTAACGTTTAAACCATTTTCTGCTGGTAAAAACAGCAAAGTTTCCCCAGAAACCATCGGAGCATCCTCAAACACATTTTTTAATCAAACTTAAAGTTTTCTGTTTCTTAAAGTTTCTCTCCAGGTTAGGAAGCAGGTTTAACAAACTCAAATTAAAATCTGCAACTCTAAATTAATTTAGCCTAAAGTCAGGAACTCTGAGTTTTAAGTTTCACAACAGCTGCTATGAATTCGTTTAATCAAGTCCAAGTAGAACCACTCAGAGTTTAACACGTGTGTAACGAGTACGAAAAGCCATTATCAGTGAAGCCGCCAGTCAACGTGTCACCATGACGACAGGTAATAGGAAGTGCCTATTTCAGCCCAATGGAACTAGAGATATTAATGCAGAAAAGCAAATAAAAAGGAGAAGGTTTTTAAAACACAGAGAAACAGAAATACAGCTGCAAAGGAGAAGATTGCTGCTCCAGTTAATGTGTAAAATATGGCAGGCCGTTTGACATTTATTAAAAGCACTCTCAGTGTTACATTTGTTGATCACTAAATTAAGATTCTTCCTGATAAAAATGCCATTCTTAGACTAAACTGGAATAATATAATTTATAAATTACACTTTTGTTGCAGAAACTGAATTTTAGAGAGCTAAAATACAAAAATTGTACCACTAAGAATTAGGTTTTATATACCTACAAATGTTTACAGAAACATTTTAAGTGGACATTCTGACATCTATCAGCTTGACTGAAAATGTATTTATGATATCTGAGACATTTTTTTTATAATTAAAACAATACAAATGCTGAGCAGTAATATTAGGAATATAAATATCTTAAATTAATTTATAGACATCCAGAATGTTTATTCTAGATGTGGACAATGTAATTTTGTTTGAAATGGTCATTTAGACAAAGAACAAAAATGGTTATTTTAGATATCAGGAAAACACATTCAGTAAAACTAGTACATATCAAAACGGCTTGCCATAGGAGGTTTTTACCGTGAACATATTACAGGATTATTTCTTGAATGGTAGCAGATCAATGTGTTTATTTAGGTGAAATCACCTGTGAGGAGAGGATGAAGAATAAAAACGTTCTAATATATAGAACCTGTTCATCATCTCATGGGTTCCTCCTCACCTTGATTCAGTTTTCTTTTACGTAGTAAAACGTCTCATTAGGTTGTTATGATCGAGTGAATCCTAATCCTAACATTTATTTCCCCCCATGGAATTAATTAATCTGTTTATGTGTATAATTTCAGTAGTTCTTCATGTACTGTAAATATAACTAACTAAAAAAAAAATTATCCGCATCTCGATCATATTAAACAAACCAAAAAAAAAAATCTCCTGTCACTGAGTTTAGAATCCTCTCCCTATAAATATTTAATTTTCTGTTAATTACTGCCAATAATTCTTTAATAAGATCCTCTAACGGAAATTAAATGTTTGTTTTTAAAACCCTAATGTGTCTAACAGACCTAGTGAATGATACATATATTTTTTTATGCCAAAACTATGAGAAAAATCTGACTAAATCAGGAACTAAAGCAGCCTGATTGGCTGTAAGGAGAGGAGAGACAGAGGAAACTGAGTTAACTGAGGAAATCCTGCTGACCAGGTTAGCTCTGGGAGGATGTTACCATGGCAACAGAAACAAATGTTTAATAAACTCTCTTTGTGAAACGGAAAACTCAGAGTTTCCCATATTTCAGGTTTAGAAACGTTGAGTTTTTGGTAAACCTGCTTAGTGAAACGGACCCCTGGTGAGGCTCAGAGCGCCCTCTGCAGGATTTAGCTTTAAATTCCTAGTTTGGGGAAGATATAGTCTTATTCTGATCTAATTAATAAGTTCAACTTAAATATTTTCTATTTACTGAACCAAGTTTTCTGATTTTAAGTTTTAGTTTTTGATTAAACCAAATAAAGCCTGTTTTACATGCAGAGTAATTTCATTGTATTTTATCTCCTATTGAGAGGAACTTTTATTGTTCTGCTTCCTGTCGGCCATTTTAAACCAACCGGACTCATTTGATTAATTAAATAATCAATCAAATAAGTATTGATTAAATAAATGATCCATCTGAATGAATGGAACAGCTGCTCTGCTCTAAGACTTTTAAGTCACTGCTGGATGAACTCTGTGACGAGTCGCCTATGAATCGGACCCGCTCCAGACTTGGAGCCGTGTGAGCTACAGGGAACGGACGAGTTGATGTTGGTTCTGACGCTAAAGTGCTTTAGATCCAGTTTAGGTCTAAAATCCCAGAAAAGTTCTTTTTCTTCCTGCTTGCCTCGATTCTTTTTTTTTTTTACATTTTTAGATGATTTCATAACAAACATGCCAGTTTTTTCTAAGGAGGTTAAAAAATAGCTGCACATCATTTGGTCACGAAGCAACAAGAGCTGGACTGAAGGTCACGACCTGCTGATGGAGGTCTGATCGCCGCCGACGCCTCTGTCTGTGTGTGTGCGGCAGTGGTTTCTGCTAAAAGACGAATGAAGGAAAACAAGGAGCCAAAGGTTGGATCTCAGTTTGGACTGAAGCTGAACTGGTCTGGAACCAGCAGGAGGTCTGGGTTCAGCCGGTCAGACCATGGCCGCCTGCTCTGTTCCGACCCCTGCAGGGTCTGATGCTTCATCGTCTGACCTCCTACAGAGGCGAGCGCTGCCTCTAGAACCCTGTAGAACTTTCCTGCTTCCAGAGACCCAGCTGAGAGGGAACTAAGTTGTGTTGGAGCAGGGAGACATCTAGAACCTTTAGAACATGGGAACTGGAGCCAACAGGCTGTTGTTTTCCTCTCCTAGGAGGATCTCAGAGTTCTCCTTCTTCCTCTGGCTGGTGACCAGAACAGTTCAGAGTAAAGCTGTGACATCATCTCTGAGGCGGATGAAGGTTCTAGATGGTTCCTCCATGGAAGCGTTCCTCTCTGGTTCTACCCATGTGAATAGTTCTGGTCTGTCTGCAGATTAATCAGCTTCAGCCCAACAAGCAGCTCCTTGTTTTTCTTCTCCAGCGCTGGAAAACAAACGCTGTCATTGTGACATCATCGCTGGCTAAGCCAATAGGAGGGGCTCTGTTAGAGACCACCCACATCTAGTTGCTGTGGAAACTGAGCCGGGTCAGTGGGAATGTTGAGGGGAGGCAGGGGGGGCTGGAAGAACATCCCATATCATTACACGCCCACCACACCAGAGCCCGCCCCGCCCCGCCCCGCGCTGTGGAGCCGTTTGCTGTGCGCTCGCTCTAGTTTAGTGAAGCTGGTGTTCCGCAGCTCTAGAAGGTAGAGCTGGTGACGTCAATGTGTGCAGCAGAACTCTAAGCCCGCTCCGTGTTTCTCTGCAAACCCAAAGGCCGTCTGAGACGACAACCACAAACCGAAGAGTCCACGGCGGCGCCGCCGTCTCAGGATCACATTCACAGTTCGATTGGCTTTCCGCTGGAGGAGCAGGGGCTTCTGGGACGTGAAGTCCCAGGGGGGTCAGAAGAGACAAAATCTCTTCTTCAGCTCATTCCTCTTCCACATGGAGAGGCGGTCAAATTCCTCGATGGGCATCCCAAAGACGCTGAGGAACTCCTCCTGGGAGAGATGTCTCTGCAGACAGGAGACAAACGACAGAACAGTCAGTAACCAATGACGACGACCAATAAACCAAACAGATAACTATGGAGAACAACTGATTAAACCCATCTCAGATAATAAAGAAAAAAATCTTGGTGTTGTTTTTGATCAGGACCTGTCATTTAAATCCCAGATCAAATTCTTTCATCTGAGGAATATTGCAAAAATGAGCAATCTCCTGTCCAGGGGTGATGCTGAGAAACTAG